CAAAATTGGATTTTTCATAACAGAAATGAAAGACGTCCTGGGTGCCCATATTTTCTCGCAAGCCGTGTTCACCAAAAGATTAAATAATAAATCCTGGCTTCGTGAGAACAAAGAGAGGGGTGTTGCAGGTGGCTAAAGGTTTGAAATAAGGGCCTAATGCTGTAAGGAAAAATCGAGATTTTGGGCGATTTTTCCACACAAGCCCATCGGAAGGATGAAAATCTAAAAAGTTGGTAGCAAGAAAACATATTGGCTTGGGTGTCGCAAATGGAAAAGTACATTTCAGGATAACATAAGTAAAATCGAATTTTGGCATATGTTATCCCCAGGAGCCACTCGTGAAAATCTCCTACTCTTCGAGGCTTGTATGCGAAAATGGGGCTCCTAAATATGTCACTATCTGACGGTCTATAAGGAAAATATCGCTGGAAACAACGTCCGTCGATAAAAAATCATCAAAAGCTAGTAGAGAGAAATATCTACGACCTCACTAATATTAATATAGACCCTGAGATAGGGCCTGTTTAGTGGAATCATTTTTTTTTGTCTGGCATTTTGAGGACTGAATGTGGCTAGTTTAGCTGATGAGAATATAAGTAGTGGTTTCAATGCCTGCTTCCTGTTCGAAATATCCACAGAATGTTTTGCGGATTTGCTCGAGTTCGAACTATGATTACCATCTGGCGATTTTTCAGCGTTATTTTCACAACAAAACTTTTTATTCTCTCGATTTCTAGTGAAAAAGTGAACGAGGAAGGTTTTTTTTCCTCTTGAAAGTTGACACTCATCCCCACTTTTTCAGCTATTGAAAAGCATCTGGTATTTTTCATTGGTGAATTATTGATCAATGTCAATCTTTAATTTAAGAGCCAGAAAATTCGAGATCATTAAAAAAAATTCTTCATGTAAATCAATTTTTTCTTCTCCAAATTTTCGAACGGGTGGCAGGCAATAAAATCACCCATATTCTTATCAGCTAACAAGCCACATTCAGCCCTCAAAATGCCAGACAAAAAAAAAAAAATTACTCCACTGAACAGTCCCTAGCTCACAGTCTTATAGTTATTTACATCACAAGTGCGTTTATGAACATGATTACAATAACGAGTGTGAAATATTAGGTCGTAGACCGAGTCGTTCTAATCACACGAGTTTTGTAGTCATGCTTGAACGCACGTGTGATTTTTTTTTTTTTTTTTTTTTACGGATATGCCCACTCGCAAGGAAATGTCCTATCACGCTCGAGAAGCGGCAAGTGCGCGGAGATGTCGGTGTATGTTGGTCTTGAAACGGTTCAGGTTGTAACCTGCAGGGAAAACCGTCGCAGGGAGTTTATTCCACAGCGATGCTGTTCTCCAGAGATATGAATTCTGATATAATGAGGTTCTTGGTGCCTCTAGTTTGACAGTAAATTCATGGTTACCGTCTGTTTGACGGGTTCGCCTGGTAGGTGCTACTCTCGGTGGAATCATACGTGCCAACTCTTCAGAGCATTTTCCGTGATAGTACCTGTAGAAGAGAGATAAATCGCCCACAGATCTGCGATGTTCGAGACCATCCAAGTTACGAGTAAGTGCGGGGTCATTGATCAGCTTGATAGCTCGTTTTTGCACGGTATTCAAAAGCATTAAGGTATGTTTGGGTGCTGCACTCCATATATGTGAGCAGTACTCCATAGTTGGTCGAATCTGGGCTTTGTAGAGTGTCAGCAATTGGCTTGGTGTGTACGCACGTGTGATGTATAACGTTTTATCTACAAAGCGAAAAATAGGAAAATGTTTTTTCAATTTTCGTTTATTAGTAGTTGTCTACCTCCATTTTACCTTCACAGGTTTGGCTATGACATTTTTGTCAAATCACAAAAACCAGTTGTGTTATAGATTCATAACCTAGTCCATAACACCACCAGTCACTAGTTGTATTATAGACTCATAACCTTGTCCATAACAGCACTAGTTTTGTTATGAGTCTCATAACATAAATCAAATACTAGAAAAATGGTTATGTAAAAACATAATAACCAAATGCTTGTAGATAAAATAATTTATCTACAAGCGTTTTGTTATGACGTATTTACATGACCATTATTCTAGTACCTATTTGAGATATGTCATGTGATTCATAACAGAACTAGTGGTGTTAGGAATGAGGTTATGTGTCTATAACACAACTAGTGGTGTTATGGACTAGGTTATAAATCCATGACACAACTGGTTTTTGTGATTTGATAAATATCATAGTTGAATCTGTAAAGATACCTGTAAAGGTACTTTCCGCACTAGTTAGGAAATATACTATTTCAAACCTCTGTAACTACGAAACGGTTTTGGAGAAAATTTTTCCAATAGCGGAGCACAATGGAGCAAAATTATTAGTATAAGAATCCACAGTCAGATAGGGGAAAAAAGTAGTGGGGGGGGCTGATCAATATTTTTCAAAACTCTGTAACTATAAAACGGTTATGGAGCAAAATTTTTCAATAACGGAGCAAAATGGAGCAAAATTAGTAGTTTAAGAATCCATTGTCAGATAGGGAAAAAATGTGGTGGGGGGGGGGCTAATTAATATTTTTCAAACCTGTGTAACTTCGGAACGGTTGTGGAGCAAAATTTTTCAAAAACAGAGCAATATGGAGCAAAATTAGTAGTTTAAGAATCCATTTTCAGATAGGGAAAAAAAGTGGTGGGGGGGGCTGATTAATATTTTTCAAACCTCTGTAACTACGGAACGGTTGTGGAAAAAAACAATTCAATAACGGAGCAAAATGGAGCAAAATTAATGATATAAGAATCCACAGTCAAATATGGAAAAAAAGTGGTGGGGGGGGGCTGATTAATATTTTTTAAACCTCTGTAACTACGGAACGGTTGTGGAGCAAAATTTTTCAATACCGGAGCAAAATGGAGCAAAATTAGTAGAACAAGAATGCACAGTCAGAAACGGAAAAAAAGTGGTGGGGGGTTAAGTTAGCCCATTAAGTTAGCCCCACCCCACCTTAAAATCGTTATAGTCTCTAAAGCGTAATGGAGCAAAATTTAAAATGTATGGAGCAAAATGGAGCAAAATAAGAGCAAAATTATAGATAACTTTTCAACTAAAAATTTTTAGTGGGGGGGGCTAACTTAACTGACCTTCATTCCCACTAAGGAGTATTAATCGGAGCGGAAGAAGACAATGAAAGACAGTGTTAGGTGCTTCGCGCAGGACAAAATATTTTGGCATTGAGGCGCATCCAATACCCTTAAAAGGATTTGAAGAGATTTAACGAGATATAGGTACTGTGTCATTACTTAAGTGTGAAACATATGGGTTTTTTTTTTAGTAATAGCATAATCAAAATACAAATATGGCCAAAAGTTGGTGCATGTCTAATAATCATATTAGGTGCACTTAGAATGGTTGCAAGTCAAACAGCATACAGGATAGCTCAAAAAATATCAAAATTTTTACTTGAATAAAATAAAACTTTTGCACTTTAAGGAGAGTTTTTTTTATATGGCTATTATCATTAGTAATGTTTTAATTTGTGATTCCATAAAAAATTAAAAATCTAAGTTAATTTTACAAATATGCTTGAATTTGAACAAAGTTATGTAAAATTGATTTGATTTTAATTAATTTTTGAAAGCATTAAGGGCGGAAATAAAAAATAAAAAAAATATAGAAATTCTAGATTTTTTTCGAAAAAAAATAAAAAAAAACTTGGAAGGCTATGTTTGGGTACTTAGGCATAACTTTTAATTCCAAACAACTTTTCTCTATAACATTTTGCTGAATTTTCTAAAATAAGGGTACTTTACAGTACAGCTTAGATATTGTTTGAGCTACCCTGTATGCTGTTTGACTTGCAAGCATTCTAAGTGCACCTAATATGATTATCAGACATGCACCAACTTTTGGCCTTGTTTGTATTTTGGTTGTGCTATTACTAGAACAAATCCCCATATGTTGCACACTTAAAAAATCACACTGTAGAAAGATTTAAAGCGATTTATACAGATTTAACTAGGTTTAAAAAGATTTAAAGGGATTTTAAGAGATTTAAGAAAATTTAAATTGATCTAACCTGATTTGATATGATTTATGAAAAAACTAAAGTGATTTAGGGAAATTTATTTAGGGATTTAAATTGTTCCGGATCTCTGCTTTTTAGGGATTTAATTGATTTAAAAAGATTTGAGAGGGATTTAAAAAGATTTGAAGGGATTTAAAGAGATTTGAAGGGATTTAAAACGATTTAAACGGATTTGACGTCATCTAATCTGATTTAGAGCAAAACAAGATGATTTATGTGATTTAATAAGGGATTTAAAGTGATTTAAGTCCATTTGTACACCGATTTAACAGAGTTAACAACCCCCCGGCCGCATGGAGGTAAGTAACACCCATTTGACTCACGTTCGCAAATTTGAATGTAACACCCGATATCGCAACGGAGAGTTTCTTTATCGGGTGTTACTTACCCTGGACAGATTTGCATTCACATAATGTTTAAAAGTAATGCCTTTATTAGATAGTATAGATATAATATTATTAGTTTTTTATGTTTCAAACTTTCTGTAAGTATTTTATTAATTCGCTCATTAGTTCTTGCTTACAGGCCCTACTTTTTGTGTTTCCTTTTGTATCAAAACAGCAAAATGTAAAAATCTTCTTTCTTTCATCTTGAGCATTTCTGTTAGTACCTAATGTAAGGAGTAACATGTTCTCGTCTATCTATGTTCAATATACAGGGTGTCCCAGAATAAGTGGGCAATCTCTCGGATTCAGATAGAATACAAAAAAATGGTGACAACCTCCTATAGAAAAAAAATTCTACGGCCCCCCCTACGAAGTTACGTGCCCCTAAAGGACACCTTTGACAATAGGTTTTTTGTTGATAACTTTCAAAATACTTCGTGTATATTTTTTTCTTAAATATGATGGATACTAGATAAGAGTCCTTAAAATGGATCATTTCAAACACACTTAGCCAATCTAGTTTGCCAAGGACGGACTAGCTTTAACACAATAATGCTCCTTTTTTACACCCTGTATGATAAAGGCATAGCAATAATATTTTTAGATAGTTTCAACCTTGAACTAGAAAAAAGATACTCTTATTCGATGTCGAAAAAATGAGTTGGTTTCTAGGAAAATGTGTTTTTGTTTATTAATGGTTTTTTATCAAATAATTTTGTATGTCAACTCAACTTGGGCTCCTTCTAATCTTATGCATTCCTATTTTAATCAAATATTGGTCGACCCTCGACAATGCTTCAATAATCAATATTATCCCTTATTTCGCGACAGTGAAAACTAATCCTTTCTACTAATATTTTCTCAGTGTCATTATTGTGTTAAAGCTAGTCCGTCCCTGGCAAACTCAAACTAGATTGGTCAATCGTGTTTAAAAGGGTCCATTTTAAGGGGTCTTATCTAGTATCCATCATATTTAAAGAAAAAAAAAATAACACGAAGTATTTTGAAAGTTATCAACAAAAAACCTATTTTCAGAGGCGTCCTTTAGGGGCATGTAACTTCGTATAGGGGTTTTTGAAGATAACAAAAACAAAGTCACAGTCTCATAATTTATTTGATTAGCTACACGTGTTTCGCTCAATAGAGCATCATCAGGCCTTGAAATACACACCCTTAACACACATTAATTAAAAATAAACACTAAAAAGCAAGGTTAGGATACAAACACTGAATAAAATAAAAGAACAAAAAACAAACCGCAATTTATTGGAATTGAACCTGCGATACCCAGGATGCTAGCCCAACACCAGACCCAATGCACCAGCGAGATACTGACAATTCAAAGGCGAGAACAATAACCAATGAACCTCAACAAAACTAAGTGGAACTATAAAATTTCTTTTGAAGGAAGAAATTTTATAGTGGTTATTGGGTAATTACTTATGTGCTCAGGTATAAATAAAGTTAGTGTTCTACAATCTTTTTCTATTTTTGCAATTATTATGTATTAATATTATTGATATGACAACACCGCAATGGCAAATTTTCCCCTCTGCCTCTTCAGACGTCATAGCTCATGATCTATGCAACTAACTTTATCTACTGAAGAAAAATTTAATATGTATGAATAGGATTTTTTTATTTGGAGTCGCAAAGAAAATTTTTATGTTTAACCGTTCTGACAAAAAATTTCTGAATTACATGTTACCAATTCTGAATTACATTTTCCTATTTCCGATTTTCAAAATCGCATATCTCAATTACAATTTACATTTTCTGGCATTAAATTTCCCCTTTCTGAATTACATACCTATTCCTATTCTGAATTACAAATTCCCATTTCTGAATATTATGTTCCTTTTCTGAATTTCAAATTCCATATTCTGAATATTAACTTCCTATTCTGAATTACAATTTCCATTTTCTGAAATTTAATTTTCCTTTCTCAAATACATTTTCCGCTTACTGAATTACAATTGCAAAAGGTGTACTTAGATCAAGATCAAGATCAAATTTTTTCCAAATACTTGGTTCTGAGGACATTATTCCAAAATAGTTGGTTCTGAGGACTCTAAAACATAGTAGTTACTGCTGGGTAGTAGAGAGAATGAGAATGAAAGATGGGACGATTATGGATCTGAGTGAGTGTGTGATTTGAAGTTACGAAATTACATTGCTGGGGAAGAGCCGACGCCACTATTTGAACCGGAGCAAAAATATTCAGGAATTCGTTCCATTATGTGTCTTACATAAACAACCATTGACGCGATTCAAGAGATTTCTCGACTGAATGGTAGGTATATAAAGCTCGTAGCAAGCTTAAAATTCAGTCAGATAAATAAGATAATTATTGTAAAAAGTTAAGTAAAAGTTTTATCTAAAGTAAAAGCGATTAGTAACTAGTGAACTTTATAAAGTCTCTTAGTTCAATTAAAGTTGTAGTTTATGAGGATCTGCAAAATCCATTACATTATTAAACATGGTGATTATTATTCCAGTTACTTTGTTAATAAGTGGGTTTAGTGATTTTAGTGGTAAAAAATAGTACCTATCACTTTTTTGCTGTAAAACTAAAATACCTCACTCCTAAACAAGTGATGTCAAAAACGACTGAAACTAAAACTAGCTGTATCTGACCTGGCTGAGATAAGGTCATGTGTAGTACGTCAAACCAACGTTGAATAAACACTTGTAACTGACTTTCTCAATTTAAGTAAACACATTAGGTCACAATAATGAGATGGTGCATCTGAGAACAAATTCACTCATTAGTCATCTATCATGCCAGTCATATGAACGTAGTCGAAACATCGTTGAGCCAACTTTGTACTGCTACTGTAGTGACACGTGACACAACTACAATCTAGACCCATTTTGACTTTAAAATAGGTGCAAACGTTGTTGCAAGATGGAAAAACGTTTAGGATTTTTTTGGTACCATAAAATTTTTTGATTTATTTAATTATTAATGAATGGATAGAGTTACTAGTAATCAGGAATACCTAAAAGGTAAGTCGACTATAAGGATTTTTTAGCGACTAACCGTTTGTAACCGTGCTATAAACGGTAACTGAAACTAGGCCTTTTCGGAAACGCTGATCTTAATAACCGGTTCACCAGCTGATGTACTATATCTTTTTTCAATCGTGTTCAGCAAAGAAAGACAAAAAACAAAGAACTGGTGATCGGGTTAATCATATAAGCGCTTCCGAAAAGGCCTAATTTCAGTTACCGTTTATAACACGGTTACAAACAGTTAGTCACTAAAAAATCCTTTATTACAACAAATATTATCTGTAGGATGTTAAACTGTTCTCCAGCTTGAAAAGGTATCAATAAAGGCATAATAGGCGAGTCAATGAGGCTTCGGAATTAACAATAATTACAAAATAAGTGAAATTTAGGATTTACGTTTTGTATGACAAAAAAAATGAGCTATAAAAATTTGCACCTTCCAGTGACGTGCGGAACATTGTTTTTTTTTGTAAAAATTAAACAATTATTAATTACTTCTTCCCAAAAATTGCTAACAAAGTGCAAATTTACAAAAACGCGACGGCTGATCTTCCAAATCTTGTATTAATTTTGCACCTTTTTTCATTAGGCGGAACACAATGAAAAATTATTTATTGTTAAAAAGTATTATATAGTTTTCGGGAAAAATGCTAACAAGGTGCAAATTAGGATGATGCACCGTAAATGCCAAACAAATAATTGTGTAAATTTGCACCTTTTAATCTCCTCCGGAAATGAGCGAATTGCATTATAATATGTGGAAAAACACCATTATCTGGAGGGAAAATTGCTAACAATTCAAAAACTAGGTGCAAATGTTCAAATTGATTGCCAGAATGTTATGCAACATTTGCACCCAAAAATATCAAGTGGAAACCTTTTTTTTCTAATTTTTGTTTTTTACAATAATTATTGACATCGAGAAAATTACAAACAGGGTGCAAATCACAACAGCAATTCTAAATAATAATTCAACTCCTACTTCGAGTTTGCACCCCTATATGAAGCACGGAATAAGAAATATCTCTAAAACATCCTTCAAATAATATTTACGCTGTGCCGCGCCACTGATTATTTTTAATATTTTAAACTTATTCCGTGCTTCATATAGGGGTGCAAACTCGAAGTAAGGGTTGAAATAATATTTAGAATTGCTGTTGTGATTTGCACCCTGTTTGTAATTTTCTCGATGTCAATAATTATTGTAAAAAACAAAAATCAGAAAAAAAAGGTCTCCAATTAATATTTTTGGGTGCAAATGTTGCATAACATTCTGGCAATCAATTTGAACATTTGCACCTAGTTTTTGAATTGTTAGCAATTTTCCCTCAAAATAATGGTGTTTTTTCACATATGATATGTTATATTAATGCGAATCACTCATTTCCGGAGGAGATTGAAAGGTGCAAATTTATACAATTATTTGTTTGGCATTTACGGTACATCATCCTAATTTGCACTTGTTAGCATTTTTTCCGAAAATTATATAATACTTTTTAACAATAAATAATTTTTCATTGTGTTCCGCCTAATGAAAAAAGGTGCAAAATTAATACAAGATTTGGAAGATCAGTCGTCGCGTTTTTGTGAATTTGCACTTTGTTAGCAATTTTTGGGAAGAAGTAATTAATAATTGTTCAATTTTTACAAAAAAAAACAATGTTCCGCACGTCACTGGAAGGTGCAAATTTTTATAGTTCATTTTTTTGTCATGCAAAACGTAAATCCTAAATTTCACATTGTTTGCAATTATTGTGAATTCCGAACCCTCATTGACTGGCCTATAAGAAACGTTGCAAAAGATAATAGTTTTGTTCTTACATCCGCTATTTTCCTCCGCTATCTGGTTTTTTTAAAATTTTATGAAATAATTTTATTAACAAATCTATAAAAGCAAAACAGTTTCACTTCCTACTTTCTATAACAACAATACAAAATTTACGCAGCGTCAATTTTTTCATCCCATAAAAAATTCATATGCCGCAGGAACCTTGCCAGTTACATACTCATATAAATTACATTCTAAATCGCCCAAGAGTCCAGAAGCACCAAACCTGAATAAATCTGGGCTCAGCCATTCATCTCCAAGATGTTCTTTCACTAAAACCAGCCAAGAGAGTGCGTCTTTCGCATTTCTAACCCCACCCGCTGGTTTCAGTCCAACCTAAATACAAAAATGTAGGTATTCAATATTTTCAAATTTTTATAGAGTTTTTGATATAATACCTTATAGCCCATTTTCTGATAATAGTCTTTAATGGCACGCGACATGACTATGCCAAATTGTAAAGTAGCGTTTACCGATTCTTTTCCAGTGGAAGTTTTGATAAAATCTGAACCGGCCATCATTGCTACCAAAGAAGCTTTATAAACCTTAAAAAATAAAAATAAATATTTAAATATGTGAGAATAAAAAATTACCTGTGAAAAGAAGAAATGCAGAAAATGCAGAAAAAAGATATAATATTGAAGAAGTTGTTGAATGTTAAAAAATTATAATTTCAGAATCATTTGAAAAAATATTTACATAGGCAATGGTGGATCAATTTGTTTTAGAAAGAATGCAAAGATGTTTTGGTAGAGATGTAAAGGAAAATATGATCAAGGAAATTTGAATACTCTTGAGTCTTGGGTATGATTTCAGCTAAGAGAGAGCGCTTATTTTCGTGATAAGTGCCTAAAAGAAGAATGCAGCAAACATACAATGATGAATTCAAGCAGATCTGAGGTTACCAGAGTAATATAATAGGATCTCCCAAAATCAATAAAATTATTTCTAGTGAGGAAACATAACATTATTAATTTGTCCCCCTGGCCCCTATCCCAACTTACATTATTCAAAGTTCCCAGTTCACCAGTAGCAAGGATCGATTTCAAGTGAGCATTCCCACACGCTTCTTTCATTTGCTGGATTTCCCGATAAAGTTCCTCCCATTCACCAGAGATGACAAGAGCACGATCAATTACAATATCAATTTCTTTCGCCCCCATTTCCACAGCAAACTTTATTTCTTCCAATCTGGTTTTTAATGGTGTTTGGCCGCAAGGAAATCCGGTAGCAACTAAAATAAGTAATTAAAAAAAGTAAATGCTAATGTATAACTAACTTTTCATCAATCATTTATACCTGAAGCCACATTTATCTTATCATAATATCCTAATTTTTTTAGGGTTTCCACAGCATCCCGAACTTTTGAAGGATAAACACAAACTGCTGCTGTCTGTATTGGACATTCTTCATCATACTTATAACCTAATTTTAAAAGCAAGTCCTCGGCAAGCGGTCTTGATGCCTGAAGATATGTTTTTTTAGGTATTTGTTTTTTTTTTCTAATTAGGTTTTTACCTTAAAACACAACCTTGAAACGTTACTGTGTGTGTCATCGCCAGCTAATGTGGTTAAATCGATCAAGGTTATTGCTTTCAGAATCCATGCTGCTCTATGCTCATCTTTTAATTCTCTGGCAGTAGCAAGTTTCTTTGCTAGATCGTTAACAGCGGTGAGGTTCACATTTACACTATTGAGCCATCCGAGATCTGAAACACATCTTGTATAAAAACAATAAAGTAATGTTTCGTTTAGCTAAAATATTATAAGACAAGCTAGGTACCTTGAGCTATACAAATCGGAGAGATTTCTATTATTACAAAACAGTTGGCACTATCAAGTCACTTGGTTCGTGAAGATCTGCCAATACCTTATAAATATCACTCCTGCTGTTATTGCCGATTTTATACCTATCGTAGACTTTGCTATCATCATTTTGCTATCTTCATTCTGTCTTTCCATCGAAATGTATTATTTGATGTATCTTTTGTCCAATAAACGGCCATAGTAATTTGTAGTGATGGTAATGCTGATATTTTATTTAACAAAAGTTTCTCAGGAAATAATTGAAGCAATAAAAATAGGGATATACGATCGATAGGAAGATTTCAATGAGTGATAGTTGGGGCACAGAAAATAAAGTTCACAGTCCAGAAGCCTGATGGGATTGAAACGACGAATATGGTTTAAAAATGCATTAAGAGATGTCGCCCGTGTGCATAAATCATATAATATTTTAAATTTTTCTGTGATCACGACGCGCGTAAGTACTTGGTGTTGGAAAAGTTCGACAACTTGGAAAACAGAAGTTACACTCAAAACTATAATAATTATCACCTTATAAATACCAAGATACGAAATACAACCGAGATGATGATACCCGCCATTATCCACAAAGCCAAAGTCTTCAAGTGAGACCTAGAACATATGAGAGATATGAGATATGACTCGCGGAACAATGAGAACAATAGAAAATTTCAGTCTAATTATCAAAATCGCGACAAAAGAGAGGGAGAAGGGTACCAGAATTATATTACAAATAATAGACATAACGAACCAAAACAATACCAGGAGACGAGTTATGCCAATAAATAAAATCCAAACCAGAAAAAACTCACAGGGCGCAGCCATCATATAGAGTAAACTCAATGCATGCCAGAGAGAGTATGAGGATGAAGGTTCGGACGAGATTCAGATAGTGCAGACAAGTCACAAGGACCCAACCAATAGAGGACAAGAACAGTCTGGGTCAAAACTAAAGACTGTGTGTTTTGCTAGCTCCGAAAAATCACACAGTGACAGTTTGAGAGGAGCTGACCCCTGCAACAAAGAGTTCAACAAATTATAGAGAACATGGAGGCAGACTGAGAATAAATCATCTTACCCAAGCAACAATGGAATAAAGTCTTCAATTGAAATAATGCAAAATGAAAAAAATATCATGAAGGGACAAAGAACTGAAACTACTGATGATTTTACAAACAGCCAAATCGACGTGAGAAAATCAAAGGATATCATACAGCAGAGCACACTGACAACAAAACCACATGAATGAAATACAACAGAGCAAAGATTGTAATAACAGTGAACATGATGCTAAAGTAATCTGTGATACGATTTTTTTGGAATCGGACAAAGAAGGAGAAGAACAGGAATATGATTAAACACTATTGAAATTTTTAGTTTTCCATAATTTTGCCATCTACAGAGAAAAAAGTGTCAAGGACAGAAAATAAATTTTGAATTACTTTGAAGGCTTTATATCACTTCTGCAATGTAGGTAATTCCAAAAAACAATTTTGAGGTTTTTTTTGTCATCCATTTTTTCAGAAAGTTACCTCCTAATTTGTCGTAATTTGTAAACCTATAAAACAATTGTTTCCTCAATTTCTTGATACTTACTGCCATCAACAGGTCCTAGAAGAAGGAATATTTTCACTTGCTAATATAACAATCACCCTGTGAATGTGTAGTCTCCTTTGAATTTCGCAATTTAATAAAGGTAGGTATTTAATTTGTTTATTTTGTAAAACCGAACATACAGTAAGTGGCATCATATAACCAGCAGCTAGTTGAGTAGCACCATGTTTAACTTTAGTAGCCGCTGGTTAATCACGTGACTTCCTATATGCTGTTAACAGCGTTTCAGTCGCTGAAGCGGCGGTCAGACTATAGGCTGCTTCACCAGCCGCCGCTGGCTGCTGGCTGCAAACAGCCACAGCAAGCAGGTTCTGGTTTGGGTTCACATTGGTTTCATAAAGTAGTGGTATTATTGCTGCTGCTAGCGAGAAAAAATAGTGTTGTGTCCATTTTCTGTTGAATTGGGTTAGAGACTCGATAACTTTTAGAACTGAATAAGGGGTTTCATCAAAACTTTTAAAAGAGCTTGCAGGGGAGGACCCTGAATCCTATAAGAACATGTTGAGATTGTCAGTTCCAAAATTCAAAGAATTGTTAGAACTAGTTACAAAAATTATAAGAAAAAGAGATACTCATTTGAGACCAGCTATTCCGTGCAGAACCTAACTTGAGATTACTCATCACTCATCAGTATCTTGCAACTGGGGATACCGTCAAATCTCTTATGTACCTATATTTAATCCTTAAACCAGGTCTCTGAATGCTCTATTCCTGGCATCTCTTTTCATATATTCTGGAGATGAGGCATCCAACAAACAATTATATTTCTGGTTTTATTCAGGAACTGAATTATTTTGTTTGATGTCCATCTGAGGTCTGCCTTGTTTGGTGAAACACTGACTCCTTGTTACCTGAAAAATGCCAACAAATAACAACTATTCACCAGGAGTGCGTGCGCGAAGGTTCACATCAGGCGGCTGAAACGCCGTTTACAGCATAAATGAAGTCACATGACCAACCAGCGGCTACTAAAGTTAAACATGTGCTACTCATCTAAATCAAATCAAATCAAAATATGCTTTATTGGCGTAAAAAAATAAATCCATTGACAAAGCCAGTAATTCCTAAACCTAAACTTTCAAAATAAAAATAGCATAACATTAAACGAGGTAGGGATATATAGAGTTATACAGATGAAACCGAAAACAACAAAACAAAATAGGAACATCGTTTGGCATGGTAAGGTTAAAAAAATAAAAATACATTACAATTAAAATTATACACACTGATTACACTTAGTTGTTGATTAAAATACGTACCTAAAAACGTTTACAGTTGTTACACACACAAAGAATTTAAAATAAAAAACAAAAAATAAATAAAACTTAAAATAAATAGAAATAAATAAAATTTAAAGTGCAAATCAGACTCAAGGAACAATAATGTGTGTCTTTTTGGCAGATAGTAAAATTTTAAATTAATAATTAAAGATTTTTACACTTCTATAAATAATGGAGTTTTGTGTAAGGCTGGAACTAGGAATACGAAGAGGAATATCATTGTGATTTCTGGTTTGATAAAAATGTGCATGAGTGACATCTTTATATTTTTTGAAAATTAAGCTCACAGTTTCCAATATGAACAAGCCAGACAATGTCAAAATCCTCTCTTTTTTGAAGAGGGGCTTACAGCTAACTGCTGGTAATTCCGATCGCCAGCTTATAAAAACAGCGGCTGGAAGGAGTTCATACTGCGTTGTTAGCAGCCAGCAGCCACCAGCATGCTGAAAAAGCAGCCTAATCTATTCTAGCCGATATCGTGAAGTTGTTAAAAAATTGGAACGATTGCAACACACACGAGAAAATCCATAGGGTCCCTGCAAATTGGATCCTGTAAATTGGTAATTGGCATGTGGGTAGCCCCCTTCAGCCGATCACATTTGTCTTTATAAAAACATTGCTTGTTTGATGTAGATATATGTACCTGGTAAGCAAAAAATCATAGGCAGTGAGCAGGGGCGTGCCGAGTTTCTTGGGGGCCCTCCCACGAGATTTTCCTTTGGGGCCCCGAACAGTTTCGGTAAAAATAAAAGTAAACAAAAAATATCATAAATTTTTTTATTTAATGTCCGACTAGTATATTAATCGAGAAATAATGATATTATGTCAAAGTCAGTTAAATACGGAATAATTCCCTAGGGCGTTATGACTATTTTTTCAAATAGGAAATAATTCCCTAGGGTGGTATTTCAAAATAACGCCCTAGGTAGGTATGACTATTTTTTTGCAGGTGCTTGATTTGTTTTAGATTAATTTATTCAAAATTTTCTCATATAAAAGATAATTAAGTCGGACATTAAACGTTGAAGGCCCCACAGGTATTAGGAAATAGGGATATTAACGCTTTCGGTCAACGTATATCCCTCAAGCCAGAGGCCCTCGAGAAATAGAAATACACCATTGATCTTAAGCGTTAATATCCTTATAATACCCTTGATACCTTAATAACTAAAAATAAAAAATAACTACTACTTCGATTTTTTTAAAGATTTTCTTAACTGACACTCGAACTGACATAAGTGGGAAACAATTTCGTGTGAGAAGAATACCTTGTTTAACTTGGAGGCCCCAATTATCCCGGGGCCCTCCCGCACCGCGGCCCCGTCAGGCACGCCACTGGCAGTGAGACGACAGACTATAAACAAATAAACCTAAACTCCAGTGGCACAGCCAGCCTTGCAGGGCGGAGGGGGCAAACACATAAGGGGCGCATAATTTTTTTGCTGGGGGGGGGGGGGGGGGGGGGGGGCGGGCGAAGATAACAACTGAATGTTTGTATGCTTTTGTAATATTTGCTTATTGAGGCCGCTTGCGGCCGAGGCAAGATAATCTCGAGGACACACACTATTTTTTGTGCAACCATGAAAATTATGTGGAATTATAGAAAAAATGTACTCCTTTCAACAAACATGTGGAACTAATTACCAGTTTGATGTATAACCTGGTGGCTATGGTGGCACAGCGTTTCCATGGATGTCATGGATGAAATATTTTGCAAGTAAACAAATACACAAAAAATTTTGACGGTTCTCAAAAAATCGTGAAAATATCCGACAGCGATACAGATGTTTCACTCTCTTGCACTCCTCCAGAGCTAAAAAATATGGTTCAATCAGCTATTTCTGAGTTAATACCTGGAAAACTAAGCGGCAATATGAAAATTGTTACTGCGAGTTCAAAAAATTGGTGTGACAAACAAAACGTCAAAATGGTGTCTGAAAGCATATTGGCTAATTTAATGCCGAAATGGGAAGTTTTGAGATTTCAATTCAAAAACACTGGATTATTAGTTGCTTCAGCTTCAGGAGTAAATATTAGTAATAATGCAAACTGTCATGTAAGTGTTAATATTTATCCCAAATAATTTATGTTGTTCTGAAGAATTTGGAAATAAAATTTACTTATTGTTGTTGTCAAAGTGTCGAATTTTGATTTATAGTTTCGCGGCCGTCACCAAGGGCAACGGCCGCGAAATTGAATTTCGCGGACTGTGTGGCGGCCGCGAAAGCTCATTTTGCGGATGGTTGCACAAAAAAGTTTATTTCCTTCAAAAACATTTCTTTTTTTGGGTGCCACGCCGAAAAACATTTATGTATTTTAATCCTTAGAAGAAATAATGTGTGGACATGTCGTTAACTTCAAAAAATCCTTCCAGACGCCTTGAAAACTAGAACAAATCCAGGGAAATCCGGACAGATGACAGCCCCCCTACTGGCTACGCCACTGCTAAACTCGACTCACCCAGTTCACATCCAGGATTCCTTTCAATTACTGCCCTCATTTTGCCAGTTGCCTCGCACCTCTCAAAGTCCGTCGTTAAACCCCTTAATTTATTATTTTATTAAATATTAAAAATAAAAACAATACAAAAGTTATCTCTTATTACTTATATTGTATTATCACAGTGTTTTATTTTCTTATCTCATCTCGATGATGCAAATTCGCATAATTTTAATTTTTATCTATAAGAAATTAAAATTGTTTATTTGGTGTATTTGTTCATTGTTTTTGTTTATTCTCGAGTTGAAGTTGAGACGCTTGAAATGGAAGTTTGAAGTAAGAAGTAAGATTTCCATCTGTCATTTAAAATACAGACCTGCGTTCGATAACTGGGTGTGTGGTATGATACAAATTACAGTAATCACACAGTTGCGGTAGGTTCATGAATGAACGGGAGCACCATTGACGGATGATTGTGACCAAAATTACGCTCCGCCCGTTCATATAATTTTCAAGCCCTGGGAGCACTTAAGTAAGGGCACTTTCCAAAATTCACCGTTTTCTGAACCGGTGCGATACCGGTAGTTTACTTACCAAACCGTTCCAAAATGTACCGACTTTTTACCGGTTGAACCCGATCGTTCATTCCAAAATTGACCGGAATGATCAGCTGTTTAAAACCGGTGAGGCACCGAATCCACCGGGAATTTTTGTCGGTTTTTTCGGTTGAACGTTTATAGACACTTTTTTTTGACGTACATTAATTTAATTGCTTTGAATGGGCACTATTGGCAGTCTATTGTTAAATTGCTGCTTGCAGATGGCAGAATAAAAAAATGTTTGTGCGTGGGCGTCATTATGAAATCGACAAACCAAATACTCAGCTCACATAATCTACAAAAATCGTACTGAAAACTACCGTTTGTTGACTGTTAAAAATAATAAAAATACATACCAACCTCACTGCATCCCACAAAAAAATCCATTCCAAAAAATAATAAGCAATACCACCAAACTTTGACACCAAAGCGTTCCAAAATGCACCAGAGAGATCTTGTAACCGGACTTGCATCTGACTTTTACCGGAATTTTTGGACAGCTACCGGTCTATTTAACCGGTCAATTTATCGGTGAAATTTGGAAAGTGCCCCATATATCGCTCTGGGCGTATTTTGCCCGGGCGGATATTCAATTTGTGAACGCACTCCAGGAGTGCATTCGAAATCACCCTAGGCGTCACACCGAGTGCACTCGGTGTCACGCCTAGGGCAATTTCGAACGCACTCCAGCTGTTCGAAGAGTCGGCGAATCCAAAGACCGAAAACCCCTAGAGTGCGTTCGAAAAAGGGTCAACTTTTATGGCGTTTTCCATTTGTTGCACGGAGGTGCACTCAGTGCATTTTTTATATTCCATTTGACTGCACATTTTCAGTTTTCATTTTCCATTTGAAAATCAGTTCAATTATTCCACTGTACAATTATCTATGCACTCAGTGCGCATTTTTTGGCCCGAGCTAGAAGGCTCGTGGAGAGCCAGTGCAGTTTGTTTTGTTTTTGTACTTTATCGTACCTACATAAAAATATGTCTGCTAATTTCCAAAGAAAAAGTTGTTGCACTTTTGGATTTAATATGTAACAGCAGCGAAGTTGAATTCGATGACGAAATTATATTATTTGAACGAATTCCGCCGCTTATCTACATTGTTTTTAGATATATTATTATTGTATATTCTCTGATGCGAAGTCCTCTAAATTATTTATGGATGGTCCAATTTCTTCATAAACTTATTAACGGCAGGTGAAACCGCAGCGAAAAAACTGTTAATTTAAGTAAATGTTCTGGAATATCGAACTGAATTTGTAGTAGGACTTCTTCATTAATTCTAAAATTCATTTCAAATATTTAGGTACATCAATTTTTTAAATAATTTTTAATAATCCTTGCGTTCGGTATTTTGCTCAAAGAGCAGAGCGGGCTGAGCGGAGCCGTAATCACGTGACCATTGAGCGAACAGAGCAGTTAAAAGCTGTATTAAAGTGCCAGAAATTTTAATAAACAAACGCTAATGAGGCTGCACCGAGTACACTTTTTAAATAAACGAACGGTAAAGTCAAGCTCGGAGAACTCGGACCAAAATAACGAACGCACGGATTGTACTCAACCTCAACCTAAACCATAGAATGAAAGCCCAGACTAAACCTATTTATTGCAATAAAACATGCAGAGCAGGAAGAAGAAACCGGCAAGTTCTAAAAAACAACAAATCCACATATGATTTTACATTAGGGTGACCATACGTACAGCATTTCGCTGTATTGTACAGCATTTTCAAAGTCTGTCCAGCATTTGATTTTGTACAGCAAACGTACAGCGATTCGGATCCGCTCATATAATCAACTTTTTCTTAAAAAAAAATTAACGAAAAATTATCCGTCATTAGAGAATTATGGCACTTTCCAAATAGTGATCGATTTTATTACTGATCGGCCTTATTTAATTACTGACAGTCACTATTTCTCATGAATAATAGTAGATTATACCACGAGTCAATAATCCTAGCTATTATTCCCGAGGATTATTACTCCCTCGCCGCGTTAGCGGCGAGGGAGTAACATTCCGAGGGAATAATAGCCATTATTGCGAGTAGTATACTCTACTTTATTTACGACAAATTAATTTATTTGAGATTTTCAATGAACAAATTTCATCCGTCTCATAATTTTCAATACAAATCCACAAGCACTACACGTTTGACACTGACATTTTTGTGGAATAATGACCATTAATCCCGCGACTCGTCACTAATCCCTGGAGGAATAACATATGTCATTATACTGCCAAAATCACAAATATAATACCCACATTATACATTAGTCGTAAATAAAAAGAATTATGGCAAAACATGTTGAATAGGCACTATTTTGACAATTTTTTTCGTGTCAGTGTCGCATTAGGGGGGATTTTCATGCATCCGTTTGTCCGACGAAAGATGTCCGAAAAACATTCTATTCTGACATAATCGTATAAAAATATGTCAAAATAGAAGATTTAGCGGACATATTTCGTCAGAAAACGGATGCATGAAAATCCGGCCTTATGCCTAGTACCTACTCATATCTGCGAAATTCGCATTTTATTGACATTGCGTTGACAAATTGACGTTTTATGCGTGTATCAAATGTCAAATTGTCGAAGAAATGTCAAAAAAATGCGAATTTCGCAGTTATGAGTACTAGGCTTAAGGCAATTCAATTCATCTGTCAAAAAGGAAAATTGGACGTGACGGCCAAGCAAGTTTGTTTTGAATATGTTTTTATGCGTATTTTAAATTATTTTGCATACATCAGTTTTGCTTACAACTTTGATTTTCATTATTTAATAAACTATTTTTTGACTAGGTACCTAAACTATTAATTCGGGCAGAAACTAGATATTTTTTTGTGTTTTTTGGCCCATGTGAGGCCGCCACGCCATCTTGAATGTCACGTACCTTATAAATTCCTAAATACGGAATTATAATGAAAGAAATGTTAGAAGTTGCCATTTTAGGGGGTGCAAATGACTTTTTTCGGTTTTATCGACCCACAAAACAACAACAAAAAATATAAATCTGTTATGTGAAGTTAGAATCTGAAAAATTCTTTGGCAACTGACCATCTGATTTAGATTTGCACATGTCTCGAAAAATAGTGGAACAAATACTGCCTTTCACTATCCAATCACAAATAAGGATGATCCTTATTTTATTACTGACAGCCACTACTTTTATGCCCGTATTACATCTGTGTATTTTTCTGTGTATTTATTCATGTAGTTCAGGGTGACAACCGAAAAACTTCAAACTCCACATAAAGCAGCATTATGAAAAACAAAATAATGTTGGCACCTTGAACTACATGAATAAATACAAGGAAAAATACACAGATATAATACGGGCATTAGTCACAAATGCGCATGCGTAGGTGTCAATAATGTCAAAATAAGAACGTTTTTATTAGTGAACGTCGCTATTTGAAGGTGTATTCCTTTCACACCTAGGAGGAGCTCCGGAACAGCTCCGGGGCTTCACGCACTTATTCCTTTCGAAAAGTGTTTGTTGCACCACGCATCTGTTCCCTGTAAATCGGGGGCGACTGAGCACCGAAGCGAGTAGCTCGAGTGTTTGAAACTCTTGAAAGGAATACAACTATTTACGTCATCATCTCCTAGAATATTCTTTTCAATGCTAACTACCACTACCTTTCTTATCTCTCTCTATTCCTCGCTGCTAAGAAGAAGACACAGCATGATAGGTCTGTTTCTGCAGCAATCACAAACCAGTCAACGCGAATTTCATTGGTTGAAAATAGTCAGAGAACGAATTTCAACCCAAGGTTCCTAAGGTTAATAGGTTGTCTGGTACCTAATGGTAAACAGATGACTACATCAGGAAGATTTAATGGAGATTTGCATTATGTTTAGGCATCCAGATGACGTCATAAAAGTTATCAGCCAACCTACCTCTTTCAATCAACCTTGGTCTCGACCCATGAAATTCACTCTGACTGGTTTGTGATTTCTGTGCGAACAGACCTATTATGTTATGTCTTTGATTTTTTTTTTTTTGTTAAGTGGTATTTTTTTTACAAAAACGGGCTATAAAGTCGATAAAATTTGCATTTAGTGCATTCTCCACTCACCTGTCCCAAAATTTTATATGTGTACAGCAGTCATACAAAAAAAATATGGTCACCCTATTTTACATAACCCCAAAAAAGTCTGTGGATTCCGAGTCAAGCCTTGCATTTTTTACTTTCCATATACACTGATGCGCTTTTTTGACAGCACTAGAAAAATTCTCGTGCGCACTGAATAGTTGTATTCCTTTCACACCTAGGAGGAGCTCCGGAACAGCTCCGGGGCTTCACGCGCTTATTCCTTTCGAAAAGTGTTTGTTGCACCACGCATATGTTCCCTGTAAATCGGGGGCGACTAAGCACCGAAGCGAGTAGCTCGAGTGTTTCAAGCTCTTGAAAGGAATACAACTAATGCTGCACTGAGACGACAAATGGGAAACGCCATTACCCAAGCGTGAGAGTGGGTATCTAGGGTGGGTATATGGTCACGTGGTTAGAAGAGTAAATTTTAGCTCGTGTGTTTTCGAACGCATAGGGTATAATTATTCGGCTTGCTGACTCCGTGCACTCGAGTGACTCCATTCGCACTCCAACCGTTCGGGTTCACGTACGGGTATTGCTTTTTACCGTATTAGGGGTGACTCCATTAGCTCTGTTCACTCCACTCCAACTCCGCGCTCAATAGCCGAACCCAGCTATAACCTAACATAAACTGGGTTCGGCTTGCACACTCCGTGCACTCCGAGTGACTCCGTTCGCACTCCAGTTGTTCGGGTATTGCCTTTTAACGAATCAGACAAGACAACGGCTGGAGTGCGAACGGAGTCACTCGGAGTACACGGAGAGTGCAAGCCGAACCCAGTTATAATAAAATTATAACATTTAGGACCAGTGTTCTGTGCATTTCATTTATCTGTTTGTACCTATTAACAACTTCCGAGTAACAGAAAATGGAATAAATAAATCTGACTGAATCTGAAAGTATAGTAAATAATACTAAATTTACAGAAGAGGCGATTTTCAGCCTGGAATGATTATTATTTGGTTATAACCAATGCATTTCCGCCGTCGCGGTTTTAACCAAAGTAGGGGTAGATGTGATTTCACATATCAGCTTATTTGCTTTTGGTATTTACCACTTATATAACCGATTATAACCCAGCTTTGGACTTGGGTTAATCTTTTGGTTACAGCTTTTTGATGTTATGTTATTATTTTTGGAATTTGTATTGGTGTTTTGTGATTTTGCAGTTGCGCTGTAGCCTGGCACAATGAAAGAAGTATACATTCACTCACTCACTGCAATTCACCATGTTTAGATCGAGGTTTAGATCATCCCCAAAGAAAATCTGTTCAATAAACGAGACTAACGAGAGATTCAGCTCCATTTTTTGTACCCAAACAAAAAACTATTGTTGAAACGAAAAAACAAATAAGAATAATAAACATAATCCTACACTTCTATAACCAAATCATTTCAGCGGTCAGTTCCTTGGGTTATGATTCTTAATTGGTGGGGGTCTATGACGTCACACTTGGCTGTCAAAGTTGTCAACCAAAAGAATAACCACGGTATTTACCGATAAATAATCATTCCAGGCTGAAAATCGCCTAAGGAAAAACTGACAAAAATGACAGGAGTGAAATTTACCTAGCGGCAGAGTTGGTTAAGAAAGAGTGCACACAGGGTAGCACCCCGGTTATTTTCGAACTAGCGTGAAAGTCAGCTGGAGTTTATAGCAATTCATTTTCGAACGGCTGGCGTGCACCCGGTGTGACGCCCAGAGTGATTTTTCGAACGCACTCCTAGCAGATGAGATCAGCTGTCTTTTGTTGTTGTTTTTGTTGTTTCTGTCAATCCATGTGGAATGTGGCTTGAAATTTGCATTTATCAAAATCGAATTTATCGAATGGAATTGTGGCTTTGGATTGTGTTCTGAACGTTCTGTTGTGCTGTGGTGGCTTGATCGAATGTCCTATGATATAACTAAGATTTAAATTATTTTGAGTTTCGATTTTCCTTCGGTTCCTGCTAAAGCACCCGCTAAAGTGTATTATTGTTGAATAGTTGAATAAATACAACATAGACAATATTCAATATTGAAGACAAGAGAGAAGCTATTATTTTAAAAGTATTACTTACCTCGTATTCTAATATTTGAAACAAAATGAAACTACCAAATCCCGCTAGAAGATCAATAAGCCCCTTCGGACAAAGGGGTTTGAAAAGTTTTGCCAGCATTCCTGGGCCTACATCTCTGCCTATTGTCGGAACTTTACACAAATACATGCCAATTATAGGTAAGACTTTTCAATATTTCTACTATTTTGATCAGAATTTTTATAGCTTTGAAAGAAATTATTGAGCATGACGTTGATAGGGCGAGACAGTGATGTAACCTTGAAACCTAAGGCTTTGTCTACAAATTACGTTTTTTGACAATAAAGCATTATTATTCATTCTGCAGAAAAGAGGAATTTGTTTAATCGCAGGGGTGGACTATTGTGATTCCTGTCGTCCATTATTCAGATCAAAAAGCATACTTACCCTCCCCTATACTGCCGCCCTCAATTAAAACGCGGTATCTGCAGCAGACATGAAAATGAGAAAACGGCGCCTAAAGTTTTTTCTCTGGATTTTGGGTTTGAATTGATTTCTTATCACGAAAAATGTACAGTGGTAGTTGGAAATATAGTTAAATTAAATGTTCAGTGAAAAAATCATGTTTTCACTTATCAAGTGGCTAAAAAATCACATACAGCTTTTTAATTGTGCAGAGCACATATAAATTTTTAAGTGAAAAACGCCGTAACTGCATTAAGGTTTAAAGTCAGGCCTATAGTTTATTACAGCAACGCGAGATGTCAATGCTGTCGCCCCTATAGTGTTGTAGTGTGCCCTAACTTGACTGTCAAAAAAAAATAGGAATCTTCATTTGGTTAAATTTTGTGATGGAACGTTTTTTCTTTTTTTGGCGAAAATTCTACACACATAAACAGGGTTGTAGTTTCGACCAACGCAAATAATTTTGAACGTTCATCCGTCGGACTTTTTTCTAAACAGTGTAGCTACGGGCGTATTTCCAACTATTTTTGCAGTAGCGAGAAAACTACAAGTTCAAAAAATTTGAAAAAAATATATTTATGTTGCGTAGAATTGCAATAGTAGTTCGTAACAAAAATAATGGGAAACTTCATCTAGTCGTTTTGAAATAAATGGTGAAAAACTACTTTTTTTTTCAGTTTTTGTGATATAACTCAAAAATGGCGAGTCAAATTTGCTTAAAAAAATTATGGATTAAAGTATATCGATAACCATATAACATATATTTTTTTTGGAAACAAATTCAACATAATATAAGTACATAATTTTATAAAACACTTGATTAGATCATATCTTTCTCTTCCCCACTGTCAAACGCAGCTTGCTCAGTCAAAACACGGTAATACATGACGCGCACGTGCACATACCGCGATTTAGCTAAGGATGTTACAGATACAGCGTTTTAACTGAGAAATCATGTCATTTTTGCAGATACGGCAAAATATTTATATTGTGTTTTGCTAGTAAATGAGTAGTTACCGCATTTAGCAATTGTAGGTAGATATATGAAAAAATCTCAATTTCTCAGATTTTTGTAGATGCCGCTTTTTAATTGAGGACGGCAGTAAATCTTTATTTTAGAAACGGTGTGTTTGATGTACATTTATTTATTTATTTATTTATTTACAAACTCAACAGCTTTACATCCAATTACAGAGTAGGTGTTAGGAACTAGCATACTAGTGGCACCTACTTGCTTTACTTTGTCACATATAACATGATTTAACCGACATCTCTCATTTACCTCATTAACTCTTTTCTTAAATTTTTCCAGTCCTAGGTTAAAAATATCACATTTGTCTCTAGATTGGTTATAAAGTTTACACATTGAATTAATGGGAGAATTGCTGTAATAATTTGTTAGAGTACTTATTATCTATATAAAATGTGAATGGATTTCTAGTTTGATACATGAAAGTTGAGATACGCGATCAGATCAGGATCCGCAATGAAATTATTAACTAGTTCCCAAGCAGCACTTCCATGTTGGGCCAATATTGGGACAATAACTACGATTTATTGGCCCAAGACAGATTCTCTATGTTGGCCCAGTAAAAGATGTGGACATTCTGCAATATTTGTCCAAGAACGTATGTCAATATATACCCAAAAACAAATACCAACATTGGTAGAATAACGTAACCAAATGTTGGCCCAAAAAGACATAATCAATATCATATCATATCAAATCAAATATCATATCAAATCATTTATTTCCAAAAAAATTAAATACAAAATTTAGACAATTCCTTTTGTACACGATTAACCTTTCGGTTTGTGTGTGTACATATAAATCTAAATAATTTCAATAAACATAATATCTTAGTTTCAGTCAGTGTGCAAGTACAATGCTATTTTGAAGTTTTTTGTTTTTTTTTTTTTTATTTTTTCATTTTTTCCTTTCCCTTTTTCCTTTTCCCTTTTTTCTCCCTTTTATCGGAAACACACAGGTTTTTCAATTTTTTTCTTTTAATTATTATTATTAAGTGTATTGAGTGTATTATTGTTATTATAATATATATTTTTTTTAAAATTATTACAATAGCAAGACTAATATTTCATCTATTCTCTCATAGTGTGTTCTCAGCCATTCACTTAACTCCATACTCCAATATTTAAATTCTCTTGATCGACTTTGTCTAAATTTAAGGGGCAATATATTTAGCACTTTGGGGCAGATATATCTGATAGATCTCTGGGTTATAGAAAAGTTTTGTGTTTCATATGGTACATTTAAGTTGGATATTGCTCTGGTTTTAATCTCATGATCAACAAAAGATGGAAATAAATTTGTTTTATGTGCAAACCTAATAATGTTTTTTAAATATAATTGTCTAACAGTTAATAAGTCCGTACTTTTAAATAAGAAATCAGTAGAAAATAGTTTACCCCTCCTTAGCATAACCTTTAGTATGTATTTTTGTGCAATTATTACTGGGTTTATAATACTTTTACAGGCAGCTCCCCAACAAATTAGGCCATAACCTATTACTGACTCTACAAGAGCCTGATATACCATTTTTAAAGCTTCAACATTCAAAATATCTCTCAGCTCATAGAACTTATAAACAAGTTTCCTTAATTTTGAGGCAACATACTCCACATGTACATTCCACTTCATATGCTGGTCAATGAAAACTCCTAAATATTTAGCATTTTCCTGATTTTTTATCTTCACCTCACATTTACATGTTTGATCAGCATCACATAAGTAAGAATGTACTGTTAATTCTAACCTATTTGGAAGTCCCCGTTTATCCTTCGCAAAAGTCAAAAAAGCAGACTTGCTACTATTCAAAGTGAGAGAATTTATATCCAACCACAATTTTATGTTCTTCAGAGCATTTTCTGCCTGCCAATAAGTGCTTTCCCAGGTATCACCACTGATAAGCAGAGCAGTATCATCCGCATAACAAATAACCTGAGCTGATGTCACATCACTCATACCATTTATATACATGATAAACAGAAGCGGCCCCAGAACACTACCCTGTGGCACACCATACTCCACAAGTTCCTCTTTACTACAAAATGATTTTAATCTAACTTTTTGTTCACGTTTTGTTAAGTATGATTGAATTAGGTCGTTTACTATTCCTCTAATTCCCATGTTATCAAGTTTTTTTAGTAGAGTACGATGTGCCACAGTATCAAAAGCCTTTGTTAAGTCTAAAAATATTGATAGAGTTTTTTTATTTTGATTAAAGTTCTCAAAAATACAATCTTGTAACTTAAATAGACCATCCTCTGTGCCACAACCCGCCCTAAAACCAAATTGGTTTGTCGAAATTACTTTGTTTTTATCGAGAAAGTCCCACATCCTGTTTTTAATGTTTGTTTCAATGACTTTACTTATAGAATTAATGATTGCTATTGGTCGGTAGTTATTAACATCCCTACGATCTCCTCCCTTGTGCAAAGGAGTTATAAAAGTGGTCTTCAATATGTCCGGAAACACTCCTTGACCAAACACAAGATTGCATATATGTACCAATGGTTTAATGAGAGTTTTGTAATGTAGTTTTATGAAAGAGTTAGAAATGAAATCGCCTGTGTTTGAATCTGATTTTTTTAACATATTAATTGCTTTGATCATTTCCTCCTCAGTCATAGGCCGCAGGAATAAGGAACTTTTCACTGGTTTTTCTTTGAAAGAATCAGGAGTCTGCTGTATTTGATTTTTAATTTTTGTTGCTAACTTTTTGCCCACAGAACTAAAAAATGTATTAAACCGATTTGCCATAATCTCAGGTTCATGACAGTCCTGACCATCCTCCAGTCTTACACTTTTTATGGTTGAAGTTTTTTTTATGTCATTCGTGGCACATTTTATGTAATCCCAAGTTTTTTTGGGATTTCTAATATGTTCCCTTAGTTTTTCCTTATAAAAATCTGCTTTGGCTTTATTTATTATTTTGGTTAATATTTTTCTATAATTTATAAAATCTCGTTTAGCATCAATATTTTCCAGATTACGACTCCAGATTTTTTTCAATCTATCCCTGTGTCTTATACAATGCAAAAGATTCAAAGTTATCCATGGTTTTAAACAAAAATCTTTATTTTTGATCACAACGTCTTGTTTAGAAGTACTAATATGCAAATTTATTTGTTCAATAAAATTTTGTGTTGCGGTATTTGGATCACAGCGTTAAGAATCTTTGTCCAGCATTCACTTTCCAACAATTGATTTAGTTTTGTATTATTTATTTTTGTGTAACTTTTTGATTTATTTATGATATTGTTAGGTCTTGTTTCTGTTGGAAACTGTATGTTCAAGAAAACAGGATAATGGTCAGAGACAGAAGACTTAATTATGTGAGCATTTTCAGTATATTTAAGTTTATTTTTAATAAAAATATGATCTATACATGTACTGGATTCCTGCCGAGTAATGCCATTGATTTTTTGAACAAAACCATAGCCATTCAAACAATTTAAATATTCATTAACAATATTTGTATCAACTGCCAGAGTATTAAAATTTGTATCCCCAGTAAAAATTTCAATATCACCTTGATGATTCATTTTATTCAAATAAAGAGTATGCAAATCCACAATATAATCACCCTGCAAAAGACTTGGTAAACGATAGTGAGCTATAAGACCAATCGTTCTATTATTTTTAATGCAAGTAACCCTTAAGAATTTACTAAAATTTATATCTATAACTTCCTGATTTAGGACAATACCAGAT